CAAGAATCAGTGTCCCGTTGTCGGCTTCTGCCATCGCTATCGTATCTCTGCTGCAGACCCCGCACGGCAGCCGCGGTGACTGATGGACCAGATCACCACGATTGATCGCCTCTCGATTTCTCCGTCATTTGTTACAGAATTGTCACTCATTGCGTAATACAGTGTCAACGGGCCGAGTCAGTCATTGTTGCCGCGGCCGCCGATTATTTCGTTGTACCCCAGATCACTCCGTCATCAGCATCGTGGATTATGTCAATAATATATGAAAACACGACGATCAGACTCGAGTACTAGCGGGACATGGCCTGGATGATAAATACGCCGACTTTTCCTACTCGATACTTCCAGACGATTGTGGAAAACTCCTAGTCAAATGGCGAACGATAATGGGAGAAACCCACGTGCTCATTCTCGTTCGTCGTTCCCCCGACGAGACTTGTACGCAGAAAGAAAATTCAATCGTCCGCAGATTTTCTCCGATTATCGTTTCCCTGCCGTCCCCGGAATCAGATTAATCATCGATGAAACATTTGCGGACCCAGAACCACTTCGTTGCATTCGAAAGTTCCATCCTAGAAGGATTCGATTTGAGACCCTCCACTCCTCGCTTGTGAGCCCGATGATGAGCATCGTTTAGCACAATGAGCCTCGCTTTTTGCTGTTCGGATCTCCTCTCGAGAGCCTGCAATCGCCGAATATCACAGCTTACGATCGAGAAGACACGACGATCGGGCACCTGCCATCAGAAACCATTAATCACCGATTTCGCCTAGGTAAGGTTGTTTTCCCGAGGGACCGAGCAACAAGCGCTGGGTGTTCGGGATTGACGACGACGACGGCGGTGGCAGCGGCGGAGACGCCGACGAAGAGTCCGACAACGAGGACCGGGACAGCCGGGAGGTCTTGAAGATGCGACAGGCGTGAAGTTCCGCAAACATTGTCCCTTGAGAGCTCGAGAATGTCGTCAATTCGTTTTTCGAACGACCCTCGCCAGTCGGTAACAAGAGGCGCCGTGGACACCCCTCCCGGTGCTGCTCCTGCCGCCGCCATCTCCGAGAACGAATGATAGTAGACCGCCATAATCATCACCACAATGAGAGCTGCTCCAGCCTCCGCCGCGAGCAGTCATTAATCATTCTTCCGTCGAACCCGTTTTTCTCACTCGCCGCATTGAATTCGTAGCTGACCCTCGAGCTTGGTGTCCTACGGTGAGCGAGTACGAGACACATAATGCTGCGGTCACCGGAGCTATCGGGATACTTCGCGGGGGACTCTCTTTCAAAGATGAGTCAAGATGATTAGAAATCATTTTCACCACTTGAACGGGGGATTCGGTGCCTAATCGGAGCGAGATACGAAACAATCTTAGGAGATGATCACTGGTCCCGATCTGCTAATCTTGAAGTTCGCCAGCTCCGACCGGCCCAAGGGGCAGTTCGACGACCTTCCATTTAGAGACAATATCTATGATATCGTCATGACTACTTAGCGATTATTTAGCGATATGAAGCGGAATTTCAAGCTCATGGGGGCACAACATAATAATTTCTGTCGCAGGAGAGTTGCGGCCCACATCGGTGGTATCGACCTGGTTCGCTGCGCAAAACTAGGAGCAGAGATTCAGAGCAGGCAAGATATCCGGCTGGCAAAAGCTCAGATGATGTCGAGGTGACCCAGAATATACCGATTGCAAGATATTCTACGTATAATTAGAGAAGTCCACGAAGAAATTCACTGCCAGCTACCGACGGTGCCGGTGACTTCTCAGAGTTTCCGAATCAACCATACACGTGGCGCCATCTGTGGCGTCCTGGCGGAGATTCTGACCCGAGCTCACAAGTCGAGCAATGTCTCTTGCATGAGGGGTGAAGCTTCACGCGGAAGAGAGGAGGACAGAAAATTAGACGATTCTCCTGCAGAAGTGAATATCTTTTATTTTTCTCAGCGTACGGAATCTATCGCCGTATCCTTGGTCGAGGTTCTAAAAGCTTGAGCACTCTCGAGGATTAAAAAAATGCGAGCCATCGACCCTAGGGTTGACCGCATTCGATAGCTTAGTTTTAGAATCGCGTAGTTTTTTCTAGGCGTACCGAGCATAGACGAAACTAGTCATTGATACTCATCAATGACTCATCCTATTCATGAACGAGGTGAATCTCTTACCCAAGTTTTCAGTGTGGTTTTCTAGAGTTGTCAATCTCCGAGCCATGTTTGACCTGACGTCATTCTTGAGTTCCAGAGCTCTTTTTAATAAAGCCGGGGGCTTGTCTATCTGGGTTCCCCCCTCGGGTAAAGGACACGTGTATTTTTCGAGCAGCTGATGAGCATTGAACGTCCGACTGATTTGTTTCTCAACCTGAGAGAAAAGGGAGGCTCCTTCACCGAAAGACTCACGGTGGACGTTCCCGTGGTCGTCGTATATATGAGTCCAACGATTTCTCTCGACGGCGATTAGGTCGAAGGTCCCAGCGTAATGTAGTAGAAGAGCTGCCGACCGATCTCTGGCGGCGACGAAATTCGCCAGAAGCATATCGCCGTATCGATCCATGTCGAAATCGGATACCTCAGTCGAATCCTCGAAGTCCCTCCAGAATTTCAGGATTGCGCTCGACGGACGGCACTCGCATTTATCATAGCTCTTCAGGTCGCCGATGAAGCGAACTCCGTAGGGTCTCAGGGCGGCGATTGTTTCGGCTAGGAACAGCGACTCTTCTATTGAAGATCCCATGCCGCTCGAAGTTTGCGTGGGCTCGGGAGAAGTTCTGTGGAATGACGCGCCGCTCGACGTCAATTCGATCACAGATCCCGAGGCTCGATGGGCTACAGGGACTTGTGGAATCGTCGCAACCGCTGTGGTGGCGTCGGCAGAACCTTCCTGCGTATCGTCGACACGGAGCCTGAAGGAAGGTACCTCCAGCACAGATTCGGCCCGATGGATGCTTAGTTGAGCCCGTTCATCTGAACGATCCGTCTGGGAATCTTCCACGCTCGATGGGAGTCCTATTCGAAATTCGTCGAGAGTTGGGGAGCTGGGCGGGAAATTGATCGGGTCAGCCATCGGTGATTCCCCTCGTAAATTTTCCTCGAGGTCGGAAAACCTGGACAGCCCTGGAAACTCTTGATGGTGATCTACGGACAGACCCCTGAGAGATTCGAACTCATCTGGGCTCGAAGCCTCGACTTCTGTCGACGCCCATGTGTACATTGATTCGACTTCATTATGAGCACTGGCGGACGATCCGAGCTCGTCGGAGATCAGGTTGGCCCCTTCCCGATTCACGTCTTGGAAACCATCGCCATCAGATGACACGACGGCCAGCATATCTTGCAAGCAGGAGAAAGCCTCGTCCTCGAGCGAATTTTCCAGAGAGAAGACTGCCTCCAGATTATCGCCGAGGTCCGGTAGACATTGTGGATCCTCCGATACCCCTGCGGAAGCATCGGAAGAAACCTCGCTATCCAACCATTGGCATTCGAAGGGGAGCTCTCCTCCGAGACTCGAGACCGGACTCCCTTCGAAGTTCGCAGGGAAATCATCTGCGGGCTTGCGTTCAATTAGGCTCACGTCAAGAATTTTCTCACAAGTTTCCGAGCCTGGAGGCTCGAAAAAATCTTCTGAGAATGTTCTCTCAAAGTCGACCGTAGAATCTCGGAAAATCTCCGGACTTGAAGTCGAAAGGAAATCGCTCTGGCGGGAGCATTCTGGCTGACGTGTGTCTGATTTTTCTCTCGCAGAGAAAACGAACGATTGGGGATAGGGACTCGGGCACATTAGAAAAGATTTCGTCCACGCGCTGTTGTGTTCGTCGTCCAATCTATGTTTGAGCGCTGCTACGAACTCGAATCGCTCCTCGAAGCATCGCTCTTCGATTTCGGACTTGTACGTCACCATCAGCCACGTCTTCGAGCAGAAACCGATGACTGTGAAAGTTCTTGCGTGGTGTAGGAGAGCGAACTGATCAAACGAGCCATGCAGAAACGTCTGGAACTTCACGTCTCCGAAAAAATCTTCATCGAAACTGTCGGCGGGTGGCCTGATAATCCTACGCTCGAAGTAGTTCATCAGTTGCGGAGCGATGAAACAAGCGCAGTCCGCGTAGTTTTCCGGGTAGTGAATGAAACGGACTCCGAAAGGACGAAACGATGCGATGATTTCCACCTCGACACTTGGGTCGTCCGGCGGGAATAATGGGAATTTGGGCGGGTTGGAGTACGGAAGTTGATCGATTTTGTATCGTTCCTGCACTCGTTTCATGATTTCCAGGTGTATCTCCCTCATATAGATATCGTCATCGCAGGGTCGAGGGAGAAGAGGCACTCGTCTAGACTGTGCAGTAGTCTTCGGAGCATCGATTTTCAACGTCCTCTCAGGAATATCCCAGAGGTCTGGTTTGAAGTCGTATACTAGCGGCACTTCGACTCGGAGACCTAGCCGCCATTCTTCGGCAGCTTTTTCTTCCAGGGCACACACATCCATTCTTCGCGGAGCTTATCGCCGGAACTCGGGCAGCTGATTTCTGCCGATGATACAACAAGAGAGAGACTGTCAACAAGCACTTGCGCGCTGCGCTCGACGCTGAACGAAACGTCGTATTTACGGATTAGGAATCGCTCGCAATCGCATCGAATTCTCCGAGAGGTTATTTCCCCTCTCGCTGCAGATATCCCTCACGGAAAGAGCCGCTGGATCCTTTAGTCTCCGTTCCCCCGGAATTCTCTCGAATTCACTCTGAAGCCCCGCGTAATGCCTCAGCTCATCATCGTTCCCATATGAAAGCCAGACAGGCGGGCTAGGGGGAAAGATATCATCAGAACGGATTTGTGAAGCTTCCGAAAAGAACTACCTACATACATTTTTCATCTCTGGCTCGCTCCGCGCGGAGCGTAAGCCTACAGTATACTTCCCTCGCAGCTCGTATTCATCCAGTCGCCCTTCAAAAAACATCCAGAATGTCCCGGGGCATGCGCGTGCGGATGTTCTTCCGCAAGACAACGGCGAGAGACTCAAACCAAAACATTCCAAGGAAGTACCCGAGCAATCGAACTTTTGCCTTCGCGAGGCTTCGACACCATGTCCGCGACTAATCTGCTGGGAGAAAAGACGTGAGTCATCGAGGAGATGTTCGAATGCTGACTGGCTTCGCTTCGGAGCTCAGAGTGTTGTTTTCAGAGCTCGGGGAGCTAACGGCGGGATCAAAACCAAATTCGGTCTATTACAGATCCAGTGCTTCAGAAAACATTTCGTTCCGTGGTAATGCCAACGAGGAGACGGTATGGATGGATCGCCTGGAAGATTGCAATCGCAGGTGAACCGGGAGAGGGCCTCATTTACATCTCCGATCGAACAAAGCTCCACGAGCCTGTTCAAGCCAGAGCACTGTTCCGAGACGTGTCCCATAGGTAGAGATGAGCACAGAACCCGCAGACAATTTTTTTCTCCGATCCGCAGGATACGGAAGTTAAAGGCAACTCTGAATCTCGCTCTGGCTGTTCAAGCGAAGAAATGGGACTCTTTCGTGCTCAAGCCCCTCGAAATCCGGCAATCCATGAGGCAAACGCCTCCCGTGAAGTCAGTAGTTATACAAGATGTCCGAGACCATCCGAGCTGAGAGCGTAAGAGTCCCCGAAAACGACTTCCGTCGTCCATTGCAGGAAACCGAACGTGTGTTCGAGTACCCCGATATCACTCGCAACCAAACCGTTGACGCTCCCAGACGCCGCGGCTCCCCTTGACAGTGCGATCTCCCTGGGCAATCCGCCGAACAGACTCAAACTGTGCGACATCTATAATTCGACCGAGACTGACCGAGCGGAAGAGTGGCACTACGATTTGGACGCTATCGTTGAGACGAACGGAGAGCAGAATGATGAACCCGCTGATGGTTTCGGTTTTCGATCATTTGAGCAATTGGATCCGAACGCATTCAGAGAGGCGATTGGATGCGATAAGATGATTCCAGAAACGAAGTCCTGTCCCTGAATACGTCTTGTTTTCGAAGCCGTTCTCCATCCATATGAACAGCATTGGACGGCAATGGATTACCGACATTGATTTTTGTTTCGGAATCGTCTATACCTTAAGCGAGAGAGGAGAGAAAATAAAGAGTTTCAATTTCTTTTATCCCGAAAGAGGTGAAATGTCAGCCCCGGGGCCATGGCCCTGATAGAGAGCGAAACACCTTGCTCCGGTCTGCGTGCTGCATGGATCTACCTGCCGCTTATTTCCTAGGGAGGCTCCATGACGGAAAACGTAGCGGAGAAGGGTATACCCGGAAGAAGGGATTGGCGACTGCGACCGATAGATTGATCAGTTACCTCTCCGCATCGGAGCGGCGCATCACGCATGTTTGCGAATCGTAGTTTACGGCAGCCCTCCGTAGAGTTCGCTCTCCTTCACCTTTAGATTGATTCTGACCTAGGAAATTATTATCCTCCCGGATCACTGATACGAGAAGCTCAGACTTGCTGGGAGCATCAGTGATGCTCACGCGAGAGATGGCTATATTGATAGTGTCGAGATGCACGATCAAAGGAGTTTCGGGAAGAATGTGTGAATTCTGAAGCTACACGATGTGCATACTCCGATTGATAAGTGGAGAATATGAGATTATGAGCTCCCACATTTCCGTTCTCGACGAGATCGGATGACTGAGATCGCTTTCTGTTGAGCCCGCGATCATTAGGGTCTTCAGAGAGACGAATCAGAAACTCATCTAGGTGTCTTGCGCTCAGAACAAGGTCCCATCGTTCAGGAATTGATCTCTCGAAACGGACTGTGTGATTTGGCGAGTCGCCGGCTCTACGCTATCCCGAATCGACCGCTCCTGCTCCGGGGATAAAGTCTTGCCTGAAAACACTTACGAGTGGACGCAATGAGTCTCAGAGAAAAACCGACCGCTCGTAGGAACCGTCTATTTTCCTCCAGGTTTGTACTGTTCGCCATTTTTTCGATTTCGGCCGGAATTTTCGTCCGATGTGTTCTTCCCTGATCTTCCTGAAGCCTTTCACATCCTAAAAAATCATCAGCCGGCGTTTTCTTCGCAATCCCTTTCCTTCTCACGGATCCTGCCTTTGGGGGTCGCATCCGGAGATTTTGAGTAGGTCTTCCGCTTGCTTGAGTCGCGATTCTCGACTCGATCTCCCTTGGATGAGGTATCGTAGACCGACGGGTGGTCGAGTGGTTAGCGCGTTTGTCACTGCTCGTGCAAACATGCATAGCCGCAGAGACGCCGCTCGCGCGGGAGGCGGTGTGGGTTCGATCTCTGCTGCCGGAAAAACATGCAGGTACTCGGCCTTGATCCTCCTGGGTGCATTTGCTTTATGGATCCGTCCGCGGAAGCAATGTGAATAACAGTACCCGGGACGTTAAACCTTGGCTGTGTGGATCAGCCCGAGAAAGTTTGGATGAGGTATCGTGGGTCGCGGGATGACAAGGGGATAATAACTCCGCCGTATTCCAGGGAGGAAGCGTTCGAGGTGTGGTCACGATTTTATGACGCCGCTGTGTGCGGCGACACGGATGTAGTGGGAGTCGAGGTACCCCGAGACAATACGGAACTCCTGATGACGGAGAGAGATCTCGCCGGTGCGGTGAGTCTTTGCTGGATATCGTTGCAGAGGAACCTGCTTCGTGGAGACATTCGCTCAATCTCGAGCCTCTGGAACATTCCCAACTCCGAATAAACCACAGAAACCCAACACCCTTCGCAGGAACCTTTCTGCCACAACTGCCGATCATGCCTGGGAGATCGGCCCCGATGCGTCTGCCGGATTCCCAGACTCATTTTCGGAGAAGCGATCCGGAGGAGTCAGGCTGGAAAGCGATCCAGCCGAGTAGTTTCCTTCTTGATAGGCATCGCTCTGATGCTCGCTATCATGAGCATCGCTGCAATCCTGCTGTTACTCTACGACCCGCAAGCTCGGCATGCTCGTGAAGCTCTTTCCGCGTACATCCTAGATACGACGAGCCGAGTTCATGAATAAATCATGAATCCATTTGAAGCCCGGAGTTTCTGAGTGAGTATGAGATTATCACGAGGCCGATCCCGATTACGGAAACAAGCGGGAGCGAGATTTCCCTGAGCGGAGCCCTCTGACCCCCCTCAATGCATGGCGAGATCCTCTACAGTCTCGGCGTAGATCGACCCAAAAGTGTCGCCATTCTTAGGGTCATTTCTGAGCAATCAATCGGTCCTGGAAGAGACAATCACCTGAATCATATCCGCCGGAATTTCCTTATCGGCAATTCTGAGAGAGCGAGGATACTCGCTCATGAGATCTGAGTTAGTCGCATCATTTTCTCTCCTTGACTTCATCTAACTATAAATTAAGTCCTCGCAGGCATTGTTGATTGCGAGTCGACACGGATTCCGCGGAAGCCCCAGGGACCTCCTTTTTCAAAAGCTGCTCCGTTCCGGTCTATTCCCGTAGGTATTGACATCTGACGCACACTCGTTTCAGATTCGTCGATCTTATTCTCAGTGTTCTCGGGGAGGCCGCCCCCGTAGTAGAATCAGGCCTCGACGCCGATGCGCTTCTCTCGGGCGTCGAACAACTCGAATATTGGAATATATGAATATTGGAAGCAAGGTTTATCGAGGTCATTCGAGTTCTGGACTAGACATAAGGAATAAGCCGGGAAATTCTCGGGTTGAATAGTGAATCACTATCTTGGCTTCTTGTGTTCCCATTCGAGGAGCGATTCGCTCGGGAATTCCACGCTCTAGACGGATCATCACTCTCTTCGAACATTTTTGATCGATGGATTCGATGGACCTGACGACTTCAGGCCTCGCCCAAGCTCCCTGACTCGCTTGACTTCGATCCTAGTTTTTCAGCAGATGGCCGGTTTGTGTTTCGACTTGAGACATATCAAATCTGGAAGGCTGTACTTCGCTTGTTCGGCGGAACTGACGGGGAACTGGAAAGGAATCGACAGTGTCAGTTTTGATCAACGAAGGCATGGAGGGACTTCCACTGTCGGTATGCGTCTGAAGGCAATCGGGGAGACTGTTTCCATTCCCGTTTACGCACTCCGTCGATGAAGACAGTTGGAACTCCGTCCAGTCTGCGTGTCCTGTTGTTCCAAACCGCACCTGCGGTGTCCGTGATATCGGCCATGAGCTTGATCAGAGCGGAACCCATTGGGCTTTCTGCGCAGGCCTTCAGCAAAGCTACTTTCTCCTTCGTCGTGCACTGAAAATACAATCCATGTGAGAAGATCTTTGCGACCGCTTATCTTCTGGATCAAAAAGAAGCGGACTGACCATCTTCAGGAGGGTGATGACGTTTTCTTCTCCTCTCATCATCGTGCAGATCGCGTAATTGACTCGCTCCTGGAACGAGTCGCAGAAGTGGATATAATTCCCAGCCCTTAGGACACGAAGGACCCCAGAGAGAAAACTTCGTCAATGAAATATCGTCTCGAGCTTCTCACCAATGGAGTCATGTAGAGATGCGAGCACGCATGCCATACATTCCCGGTGCATTCATCCTCACCGTGCTGGCATTGAACCTCTAGCGAACCGTTGCGACCGATGCTTGTCCTCGCATTTCCGTAAGGGACCAAGCTGCAATGTCGACAATATCCTATTAGGTGGGAAAATCTGTCTATGTGCGAACATCGGAGAAAGTTCCAGAGCCCGAGCGGCTCGTCACCTCACACATACCACGCGGACTAGCTACCTGAAAAAAACACTGTCTCCGAATTTTCTCAAAGCTCCGACGACACCAGTCTTCATTTCGACCCCACAGTCCGGGCAGAGAGATTCGTAGAAGAGCATAACATTCGGGATAGCGCTTGCCAAGCACGCGACCTGCAACATGCGAGAAACTGTAGTCATCCGTAGCGCAATTCGCTTCGAACACCGAGGGTGAAATCCAGGTGGCCCAGATATCCAAGCAAAGGTAGTCACGGGAGATTATCATCAACTTACGCCAAGGAGAAGAGCTGCTCGAGTTATCATCCTACCGATAACTGTGAGTCGGATGAACCGACCTCAGGTGGAGCTGTTTTTCTGTGCTGGATGTCGGGTTTTTCTCTAGACAAGGGCCAAGAAAGCATTGAAAGGGCGTCGCAGACTGTTCGGTCTCGACACTTTGACACGGTGACATTTTCCAGGCGAGGATTTTTTCTCATATATCTTCGCTCTTATGCGTCGTAGCTCGTAGCTGAGTGAGCACTTAGGGCGAGTTTCTCCCGTTCTGTGGGTTCTTGCATGCTCTCAGCTCACCGAAGAAAAAAAGAAGCGCGTCGACGGCCTCCTGTCTGTCTTGAGGAGCCCTAGAAGGCACTAGATACCTCGATTCCGACCAGTTGCCCATTTCCCAAGCTGCTCCCCCAGAGAATTCCTCTCAATAGAACCCGAAATGAGCTCGCATTCCCGAAAAACACGGCTATAACTCACCATTGGCAGGAGCCTGTGGAGCAGTGTCCGAGATGGCGGCGGTACAATGACAGTATATTTATCATAACGGGGAGAGGAGAGAGGGTTTAGCGACCTCACACCGCGAGGGCGCTAACGTCGTCATCGTAAATCTACAGCATTAGGCAGTTCAGGAGTACTCTTTCAGTCGATGCTTGTCGCACATGCAGAGCTCTAGATAATCCTGATCATGTACTATTGCAGCGGGCGATGATTGCACTTATCTGCAATGAGGCGATGATTGCATCCTATCTAAGGTACGCTGCTGCCGCGCGATATTCGTCAGGTTTCCTCTACAAACTCATCCTTCATCATTATGTATCGATAAAACACCATATTTTTCTCGGAGTCCACATCAGCTTATCAGGGTTGCTCGGTGGCTGCATTTTGCGTTACGCGTCACCTCGCCATCGAGGGAGAGGAGGGGTCGCCGAGCACCGAGTTCGCTTTGCACACCAGTCTAGGACAATCGGAGGAAGTTTCCAATGCTCGAACGTAGAATATCGCTTCCTGAACTTCGATTCAGGATCTTTGAGTTCAGGGGATCATAGGCCTTTCCCTGGAGCCCTCGACAGCCCTAAAATATATCGACCGTCGGCGTCGACTCGCTTCCCAGAGGGGCATGGATACATAATGTGTAAAGTGGGAATGGAGGAGGAGCTGTATTGAGCCGCGGCGAGTTTCCTTCTGGCGATATCCGCGAAGACAAACTTCGACTCATCGATTCGTTCACGGCTCTGGAGTGATCATCATGTAATCAAAATTGACGATATCCCACGTACAATGAATTCGATTTTCGCTCCCGTTCTCGATCTTCCAGTGCGGGACGACAGTCATCGAATGGTGAGCTAGACGGACGATGAACGCGTGAACTCATCTGGATTATGGGATAAATCGAGACAAAGAAGCCCGGAGACGAAATTACGCTCGAAACTCTCGTGGTCTGCCCCTGTCGTCGAATAACGGGTATTTCCCTCGCTGCGGTCAAACGGTTCCATCAAGCGACAGACCCATCGGCGTCTCCGTCGAAAACGACCGGCTCTTTTCTTCATCTGGATGGAGCGACCCTATTCCCTCGTCACTGTCTAGTCGAATGGAACGAGAGCGAATGGAAGAAGTGAATGGGTGAGCTCGGCCAGGGACAAGCTGAGATACTGCAATGCTCGCATGAGCGAAACGTTCCTCTACCACCGAGTACCACGGCAAGCGGTACTAGATATATGCGGAAGAACCTAGGCAAGCTTCATTAAGCCCTGTCACTAACTCGCCGAGCAGAACTGCGTCAGGCGGTACGGTGAGCGGAGAAACTGCCGCCGACTCGGAGCACGACGGATTCAGCTCGCCCGCAAGCTGATCTGCGGCCGCGATCAACGGCTGGTTTGCTCTCAGACCGGGCGTTGCGAGGGAAAACATCTGGCATTGACCCCTAGAGCGTACCTATTCCCAAGCGACACTTCGCGAGTATCGACGATCGGACGCGAGGAATTGGAGAGCGATGGCTCCCAACCAAGCTTCCCGGAGTGACATTCCTTCGATCCGATTCTGCAAGCGTCTAGAAATTCCCTGAGCATCACCAGTATCAGCAAATCAAAAAAGCAAAACTCGATGAAGCGAGGAAGAGTCTGTGGCGAAGTCACTGGCGATTGTGTGGGAACAAGCTCTTCGAAGTTCGGCGACGACACCCCCAAGGTGGAGCCTTCGGGCCCTCTCGTTGATTTTTCGCCAAAAGTGGAGATCCAGGGTGATGCGTTCCTGGAAATGAGGAACGGACAGGGTACAATAGGAAGGGCTGTATACAGGAATGTGAACAACGGGACAAGCAGGAATCATCTCCGGCCTTCGATTCTGAAACGTGTCTATGTACGAGGTCGTACTATGCATAGAGTGCCGAGGGTCACCCCGGCCTGCGATATATCTTCCGCATCCTCCGAATCATGTTCCTTGAATTCTGGAATCTCGCGCTCTGAAGAATTTTCCTAATCGATCGCAATCGCCAAGTATTGGAGTATTGGAGACGCTCTCTCATGGAACATGTCTGAAGCTCTCTGCGAAGACGTCACTGCGATAACATTTTCGCTTGCACATCCCTCTCTTCGGGCGTCTTTGTTTATCCCTTAGCCGCTGGCAATTGTGTCCGACTCGCTCGATGGAAAACATCTCTTGTGCGGGCGATCCGTGGTTTTGGATTGCCCAATTATTCTTTTCCTAGAGAACTAGGCCTGTGTTGGTTCCTCACAGAGACACTAGTGGTCCCCCGAGCCCCCGATTATTCTTAGTGCGCTTAGTCCTCGCAAGATCGCGAGGATAGGGAAACTACACACCGAGCGTCGTCGTACATTGATGTGGCAACAGTCTAAGGATGGCAGAGCCAGTGGAGTTCAGCACGCGACGAGACCACATTGTGGACAGATACGACAACACCGCCAAGGCTGTCTTTATCTCCGCACCGGAAGCCCAGAAGGGAGGACCATGGGTTCTTCTCGCAGGCGACTGCTATCTCGGCGAAATGAGTGAGGAGTTCAAAAATAGTGGATTCGGTATCCCGGATTCGCCCCGCATAGTCGCCGTTGACCGCGGGAGGATCGAAAATGTCATGGAATACATACAGAGGGCACTTCCCGAGTCCGTAGAGCTACTCGTCATTCATCTGGGAGCTAACAACCTCAAATCCCCGAGGTCAGATCCCGAACAAGAGGCCGCGAACCTTTACAGGTGCTGCCTGAATATCCTCGACCACCGTGAGACCATCAAAGAGATCTGTGTCTGCCTCCCGAGCCATCGCGTTGCCGCCGCGAACTATTGCCCGGAATATATCGACGGGCACAACGAGAGAGTCGATATGTTCAACAAAGAGATCACCACGTTAACAAGAGATAGTGCAGAGATTTCGATTGTGGATCTTGGTTTGCCGAAGAATGGAGCGCTCGGAGCTCTTCTCGGGGAGACCGGTTTTAAGGTGAATGAGAGCGGTCGGAAACTTCTCGTCGAGGCTCTATTCTCGCTGATGAGGTTCAAGATGTGCACTTCGGAAAACGCTGATCTCCACTACTGCAGTCTATACGGAGAAGCGACGGAATTTCCTAAGAAAAACAGAAATCGCGTCGTTCTCCGATACGATGGCGATGAGGAAAAGGCTTTCTATGAGATGAGCTGCAAATCTATACGGCTCGAGGCGCCGCGGAGGTGCTACAAGAAATTGGAGATTCCATCATTCTCGGAATGGATTGAGCAATCCAGAGGCGGAAGAAAGCGCTCTTCCGCGACTCTCAGAGATATCTCCAAGGAGCCCCGACTTGCTTGATCAGGCATTGGCATGAACAAGATTTTTCATCATGGATATTTTTAAAAGCCTCGGACATCGATAAAGGGATCAATCGCGCGAGCTGGGACTCGGGAGAAGATATCTGCTTAGTGGTCATTGGGCAGTGTTGTCTCATAATTGTACATTTATACATTTTTTGTTTATATATAAGGTACCAGAACGGAGCGGCATTTTTAGTAAAGAGAAACTTCAATCGTGGGCGACATCGCGTCTCCTCCCACGGGTTATTCCCCTTACAGTACTCATCTTGTTTTCCATGGATCTTCCGTGAACTCAAAGTTCAGAGTGTTTAGTGAAATAGGGAAGATATAAGTTCCATTACGTCCTCTCTCGCTGCTTCCAGACAGATTGTGGAGGGAAGAGATTCGTCCCGGTCCCAAACTTTTATCGGGACCATCGAGCGTCGAACTTCCACCCGGTTCCATTCGGTATCAGCAATCCTTCGCGTGTACCGTTCTATACCGTTCACGGTGGCTCGAAGACTCCGTTCAAACACGGATTCGCAAACCGAATGCGACGTCCGTGAGATAAGCTTAAGATTCCGAGAATTCGGGAGCCCGGCGGCGGATCCGATACGAGATCATCCCCTCCAGTTTCATGGCCCGAACGCAGGTGCGCTGGCAGCTGAAGGACGCGGGACTGGTCAGACACAGGGTTTCCTCTGACGACCCAGCGAATCCGTATGAACGAGGATTGAGCGAAGATCTTCGCCGCCTGGAATATTGGAATCCTCACCTGGAATTCGACCGCGTAAGAATGCCTATGTCATGGGATTCTCCTCGCGGAATCCTAGGAGGATTGCCCGCGAAACTGGCGTCCAGGCCCGGATCTCATCAAGGTCGGAAGGTCGTTGGGGGGTGGGGGCATGAATGACGACGAAATATCATCCTCGAAGTCATTGACATGTTGAAAACGCAAGGAGCGACCTCCGCGCGATTCTGAGACGATCCGTCCTTGGCGGTTTCGGATAACAGAGGGTGTTTCACCGATAGACTGATCATCGAGTTTATTCTCGCTGGGCTTCCCAAAGGGAGCTGTTATATTTGAGCTCAAAGCCTTCTTCTGACAAGACTTCTAGCCGATCCCAAGTCTATCACCGAGTGCCGTTCTTCCTATTTCGAGTCGAGAAGTTCGCCGTGGGAGCCTCCAGGGGAAGAATGGCTCTACTGAATCGGCTGAGCATCATCGTTTACTACACCATATATGTGCTTCCTGGGCTCATAGCAGCCATAGTGAATTTCGCAGTTTTCATTGTCGTTCGACGCTCCGAAGTTCTTCAAAGCTCGAAAATTTTGCGAAATGATTTGTTCCTCAACCTGGCGCTCGGCAACTCGGTGACGTTCCTCGTCACAGTGAAAGCAGTGCTTTTCCGTGAGTAATCGGTGACGATTTTCCCACGCCAAGTGTTCCGCGTCATGCGTGACCCTTCAGTCGCTTCCGTGCATCCGGGTGCTCCTCATCGATTCTTGAAGCAAAAATTATCTCATTCCAGCTGAGATGCTGTACTATGAAACCATATGTCGAGGATGGGTCTACCTCGCAGAAACGAGCCAGCTCGTGATACAGCTCTCTCTGATCTTGGCAGCCTTAAGTCGTTACCTGAATGTTCTAGATCCATACAAGTCGGCAGCGAGTATACTCCGAGGCATTCCCGCTTATTTCCTATGGATAATTGCGGCCGTTCTTTGCGCTCCGTACCTGGCGACTCATGGACGTAGGTTCAGACAGCGATTGATCTTCCGTACATATATCAGACCTTGAGTCTGATTATTATCCCCTCTGGTACTCCGAGGAACCCCACGATAACTCTCGTCCGTTGCGTCGACAGTTATTTTCGAAGGAGAAACCACGCAATGCGATATCTTGCCAGACAACTGGACGGAATTCATCACGATCGTCAGCATCGCGTTCTATCTCATACCGACGATGATCTACGTTTTTCTAACGCATCTCGCTTTACGGGTCATCCCGAAGGAAGACGGAAACAATCATGAGATCGAGACGGTGGACTTCGCTTCGCGGATCGTGCGGATAAGTTTTCTAATCGCCTTCATCGCACTCGCGCCCTTACAAGTGAGCGATGACTTCATCTATTTTGGTATTCTCAGAAAGCTCAGGATTTCGACATGTCATCGGGAATCGGGATGTATCCGACTGCGATAACGCTCAGACTGTTTTCCAAAGATGGTCTCGCTTCTGAAATACGGCTTTTATGACTCCCTCTTCACCCTTGGCCCGATATCGTCTCTGCTGCTGGCCCTCGCCTCCATCCTCGAGCCTGTAGGTTTCGCCATCTTGGACTCGGTTTTTCGAGGAGAATACCGGTGAGTCGGGTGAGAGATTTCAGTCGCTCGACTTTATTCCACCATCTCATCCTTATGCTAACCTCTTCCAACCGCCCGTAGGTTGCAAACGTCGCTCCCGGATCCAATTCACTCCGAGGGTTTCGGCCACGCGGAGTTCAACACCCGGCTGGACTCCACGATGTCGCTCGGGATTTGAGGACCGAGCTCCTCTTCGGCCTGGGCATCCTACTGATCATCATCATCTTACTGCCACAAGGCGCCAGACGGGGAATGGTACAGAAATGTGCTCGGATTCCACGGATTTGCTAATCGAACCATAATTATGCTCTTCGTGACACGTCCCGGAAGAGTCACGTCACCTCTGATAGCTCGACGCTTCGCTGTCGCACGCTGAGGCCTTGAGGCTCGTCAACCAGCACTTAGGAGTGCAATTTTCTGCTCTGTCATCAATCAATAAATCAACCTACCAACCCATGAATCAATCGATCGAGCTCGCGCGCAACCAGAAGCCAGCAATTTGTCGCGCTTGAGATTCACGGTGGCAATTTGTCGCCGCCACGCCTTGGGCCGTTGTACTTGCTCCTCTGCTCACTCATCAATTGATGGATAGATCAATCGATCAAACACTTCTCTGAATCTCATTCACTACTCTACCTTTCGAATTGGCTATCGCTCATACGATTTTATTTCATCACCATGTGCATGTACACATACGATCCCTTACATTTCAGGGGTGAATTTTTCCGCATTCACAGACCGTCCATCCGTCCTGGTTCCTCAACAACATATGCTTCGTCCTCCTTAGATCTTTCGTGGTAGTGCCAGGGTGAAGTCCGGGTCGGTACAAGAACTCTTGGGGGCTGAACCTTCCATTCTCGCCGTCCAAAGCGATGTGGGTCCCCGTCTCTGAGGTTCCTCACCGAGGGCAGCTCTCGTCGATCGAAGGATCTCGGGTGTGTTGTCGACTCCCAGTGATGGGCATCCCTGCCCTCACGAGCGCCAAGAGTCGGCTTCCTCGCGTAATTTCGCTAAATATTCTTTTCGAGATCCCTTACGATTCGAGCGATGCGACTGCTCACATTGCCTCCACGGAGTCGATAATCTTGAGCCTCACTTATGCGCTTGGCGAATGTTGGCCTCAATCATGAGCTCGAGAAGCCTGAGCCTCGCTCTGGTGGGCCCGATTCGTTTCCGGCCATAATGTTATATTGTGTCCCATCTCATCGACAATGAGAACATTTTATTGATGCTGTGAATCAATGCTCGGAATATCGAGGGCATATCCTCAGCCTTCCTCGCGTTTAATTCCACCCTTCCTCATTCGACAATCCTCCTCAATCCGACATCAATAGCCAATATGGTTCCCGGATTCCGAGTATAGGGAGAGTACAGTCGTCATTCGCGGCTCCGTTGATTGCGAACCCCCTGAGCCTCAACTTTTCAATGCGTGATTTCATGGAAAACTGCAACACTTCGCCGTCAGCCATCGAGAGGATTCCCTTCCATGAGGACACACCTCCCTCCAGCAGCGCGATCCTGCCGTCGCGCGGTCGAAGGCCTCTCGTATTGAAACCTCTGTCACATGTCTTCCTCGTTCCCGTGTGAGTCCAGGAGAAGGTTCCTCCGACCTGACTGTGAGAAAGCGGTGCTCGGATGAATGATTCCATCGCTCCCATGGAAAATCAATTCACTGACCGGGGCGTATCTCACGTCTTCGATTCCCCGTTGTCGTTTCTGAGTTCCGAGCAAGCGTCTCGACTTCGTATTCGAATGAAGACGGTTAGAGCCACGATCCAGTGTCAGATAGACGATTCTCGCATCGAGAAGATGGGGAGTCCTCCGATCCAGTGGGACCGGGACGCGAGCTTCGGGCTTATGGGCAGTCTTTGCGACCCCAGGGTTCGGAAGCTCCGCGTCCTGGCGAGGACGAAGGGCGACCTCGATCGTGAGCAACCGGGTATCCCGCGCTGCTCAAGAACTCAGGACGCTTGTTCGTTAGGAGCGTCTTTTCCTCCAATCATCTTCTGCTGATGTCGTGACCGCCTATGTAGCGACAGTGGGGCTCACACCTCCCTCAACTTCCTTCTGTAAGAGAGAGCTTTCTCGGAAAGAAAAAGAGTTCGGTTCCCCGGCCCACGAAGAGCACAGGGATGGCCCCCTACTCATTCGGTCAAAATATTTTTATGTTCCCATAGCACTTGGTGTGAGGTCTATGAAATTAAGCTCCAACTCCTCAGTTCGAATCCTATTGTATGCAAGTGATTCCCGCCCCATGCTGCAAGAATATCTGACATTGATCTGGTTGAAGCCATTGAGAACTTCCTGGCTTGATTGAATACGGGCCTGGGTCCAGAAAACCGATCACTGATGGTAGAAGAAATGATTGATGAGATCGGAGCACTCGGTAGTGGGCACGGTAGTAGGGTGAAAAGCAGAGGGACGATCCTAATTTGTTTCGATACTGATATATAGAGCTCTCAGGGGATCGCTGAACGCAAGTTTCCTCGAACCCCAACTCAAGCCTAGATCGAGCGTTAACCTCCATCGGGATGCGCTTGGGGCGGCGGGGAACCGCGATTCAACCGATTTTGGCAAGGTTTTGTGCTAGGTCGAGCCGCTGTCAACGCTGCCAGTTGATAAACTTCGGAATCCCGGCTCCCAACCAGCGCTTTGGACGGTGATGCCGGAGACAAGTCTCTGAAATCCGGAGGCGGTGCCCGTCGATTGTCGGGAGCACCGACTCGATAGGGGTCGCAAGACATCCGTACTGTCGAGCGGTAGGGAGACCCGTTCGATCGCAACAGTACCCTAACCGCACAATCCGTAGTTCCCGCCTCGCTGAACAGAATGAGCAGAAGTGTACGGAAACAGAAATCTTTCGTGAACAACCTCGATTCAATTATACGAAGAGTTGAACCCATTCCCGGAGTCCCACGATTCTCTCGGATCGTGAACCTGAAGACGAAAATTTCTTCCTGATATCCCCGTGGAGAATTCCACAACTAGCGGTCCTACGTTCCTCAGCTTAAATAAACACCACAACTGCAGGGGAATGCGCAGCGAATCCGCGGTGAATACCGGCGCCGCGCGAGGCAGCGCCCAATTGACGGCTAATACTTCCAGCGGTGTTTTCAAATCCAAGGCGAAGGGAAAGGGCGACAAGCAGTTCCCTGCGCGTCCACACGGGCTGTCCACACGGATCACTCCGGAGTGATCGTCGCGGATGCAGAAGCTAGAAACCAAAGCGTAAACAGTGATGGTGAAAGAGTTTTCAGTGAAGTTCGCGGGGAACATGCAGACTTCATACGCCGAACACCAGCGAATCGAGCCGTGGATTTGGTTGGTGGGTGACTGCTTCTTCCGGAATATGCATAGAGACTTTTCTGTGGGTCCTCTTGCACTCGACGACTGCCCCTTCACTCTGTCTCTATCACGGAGCAGAATCGATGCCCTCATGGATTACGTAGACTTGACTCTTCCGCTTTCTGTAGAATGGATCGTGCTGCATGTAGGTGCCAATAATTTAGCCTCATCGCAGTTCTCCGGATTCCAAGCCGCCACTTTGCTCCTCAATCGTTGCACAGAGCTTCTCCGTCGGAGGCCGCTCTTGGGCGAAATATCGATCTGTCTTCTCAGCCCGCGAATGCAAGACGCCAGAGGCTCGTACAGCTCAGAGTACATTGCACAGTGCAATGCAAAAGTTATTGACTTCAATCGCCGGATCTTCCAATGGACATCATGCGTCCCGAAGTTCACTTCGATCGACTTCGGCTTGGCGCGGAGCAATCTCCGAATCCTCCTGCGTGACTCCGGATTCGGAGTTAACGATCATGGTAGGCAGTGTCTCGCGGCCAAAATTCAATCGATCATAATCTGGAGACGCATCGCCGGTAGAGGACCGAAAATGTTGATACCGAGACCACTCGCGCTGGCCACTCCGTTCTACCGCGATCCTCGCTTCCAAGGCTCCCACGCTGCCTGGCGTGGTAGCATGAGCACCCTGTCGTCGCCGATGAGTTCGCGGAGTTCGAGCGGTGGCTGGTAAACGGCATTACGTTACCTAACAACAACATCTCGTGATAAAACATCTGGATCGAGCCAGATCCTAGTCAGCCACCAAGTTTCCATCCAACTCCCCGTAATAGAACACCGGTGGAATGTTTGTCTCCAGCGTTACGGTTCCGGGTGCTCCGAGTTCGTGAGGCCGGGGCGCCGCGAAGACTCATCGGTTTGTTCCTTCGATCAGATTCTCCGGTTGAACAATGAGAAGCACGCGATGGAGTACAAATCGGAAAGGAGGACTCGCGACGGATCCTTGAGCGACTATCGACGTGAAATACGAATACACGGGATATTCGAAACTGAGCCCTGAAATGGTAGATTCTTTTCTTCCATACGATTTCAAATCGGTCTTGTGTGCGGCTACCTAATCGGGATTTGACTATAAATACCTATTTGAATAGCGAAGCCGATTTCCAAGTGCTCTGCTTATGTGATCGTTTGGATAGATCGATTACGCTGACCGCGCCCGAGGAAGATCGCTTGGAAATTCGATGTCGGTCGCAGGTTAGAATCGCGATCCGCGAGGAAAATATAAAGTGTTGGCCGAGACATCTTCATTCTCCGCCAGATTCCATCTCGCGTTGTGGACCGTTGAACACCGTTGAACACCGACTCCGATATTCATGGAGAGAAGGTCGACTCGTTCCCACATCTTGTACATATGTAGAATTCAAAATCTTACATGGATGCGCGTCGAATATTAAGACGGATATTTTTAACCAAATAAAATATGTTCATCACTCCCGTTATTGTTATGTTGATCGAAATCTTCCGGCATGAAAAAATACCTCAATGTGATATCTCTTTGGTTTTGTGAATTCGGGTCGATTCTCTCAGTAAATATCATGCCCTTCGTCCCTGCATACTCCGAGCCATCGGACCCTGAACAATCTGTGCTCGGTCTGACGGAGTGCGCCGGAGGAATTTCGGACGATCACGTTGAGGATGACTCAAACAGTATCGCTTGGAATGCTCGCTGGCTCGCAATCGACAAAGATGAAAATAACTCAATCGGAGATATTCTCGGCCCGCTACCCGAACGATGATTCGAGCGTGTCAAGTCATGGAATATTGTGACGGTTGAATCAGCTCCGACGGAGAGTTGTGGAGATACAAAGGAAGATCGTCGTTTGATACGCGAAGTTCTTCCCCCACATTGACCTTGGGCTTGCGACTACGGAACGCTGAACGTCCGTCTCCAGGCACTGGCTTCGCTGGCGTCGTGACGTACCTCCGAGGTTTCTGCCTCCGGACCCATCACGGTTTAGACTACCGCCTCAAGTACCGTGGGTCTGTCCTCCCAGGATGATATGAGGCGCGTCCGCCGACTGATTTGGGAGCGATAAACTTGTGGTCATGAGGAAGTGGAAGTTCCCCTGGTCGGGGTAAATGGAAGGGAATCGAATTCGCAAGATTCTCCAGATTCCGATTCGATAGGGCACAAGTACAGACAAGAGCTCACGATTCTCAGCAAATCCGCCGGGTCGCTCATCGATACGGAAGCTGATCAGCGCAAATACGCGACGTATCATCACCGGAGATCCCTCCGCCGCATGCTCTTCCGCCAAGTTCCCCAATCGGCTCCCTTCAACTCCTTCAAGCGAATCACTTGATCGTTGCTCGACCTTCGAACCGAGAATGAAACGACGATGATTCCAGGTTCCGCGATCTGACTGCTTTCGCAGATGAAAATCCTCCATCCGGGAGTACGGATTTATCGAGTTGAAAGACCGGAAATTCCCAAAAATCCCGAGTCTGATCGAGAGATGTTCCGTGAATATCCCGATTGATGGGCAAGTTCGCCGAATTTTTAACGCTCCGAAACCTGTCCATTCGATGGAGGCTAACTGTTTATTGCAGACTGTCTGTCTATCGGAGACTGTCTGTCTTTTTGTTCCGTCCACCAATGAGAGAATAGGAGCCGGTTACTCATACTGGCATACAATATTGAATCAATCGGATGAACACTGAGAAAATCTGCGGTACCCATGGCATGCCAAATATTCACGAAAACGAGCTGCGAGGGAACGTTTCTAGTTTTGGCGACTCGCTTACTTGGATTCCTGATATCAAAAGCGCCTAAGTTTAATGGACTGTCCTTCGGTTAGAGACCGCCAGTCTACTCCTTCAAACGTCCGGAACCCGGAGACTAACCGTATCTAAGAATTTGCCCTCCTATAGGAATATCCACGGTATCTCCTGAACATCGATGCACACAATTTGAAGTTGCCTCGTTCTGTCTCTAGAATTCCTCCAGCAATCCGAGCGTACTCTCGAATGGGGATTGAGCCTCTCCGAAACGAGCAGATGGGAAGCACGGATGGGAATCAGAGGAGATTGATGGAGATGGCTGCCACCCTCCTCCATGAGACGAACCCCAGATCAAGTTGAAGTTATCGGAGTAGATGGAGCATCAGAGAACGGGCGTCTTCGCGAACACCGTCCCCTTCCGCCGCGTGTGCTCTCCATCGTTTGGACCTTGACAACCTGAGCCGTAGCCTTGGTTACGAAACAACACGCTTCAAGCCCCTGACGTCCACAACTCGCCACAATATCGTTCGGCTGCGTTGAGCTCAGTTCTTCAAGCTCCGAATTTCAGAGTGTATCTCCGAGCCGCTTCCTCGGTGTTGTCCCGATTCGCCGGAATCGCGGATCAGAGCTGAAAAGCGACTCCGGATCGGTTTTCGCTGATTCAGACTCCTGCTGGGAACGTCAACGTGAGTCTCATAGAGCATTTCCGGTTTCTTCGCAACCAGCCCCAAACGGTGATCCAAACATCTACGTGCGACTCCACGCAAAACCGGTTGCCTGATTCCTTTCCGGGTAGCGAGGAATGCTTCTATTGCGAGGGAAGTCTGTTAGAGCGGAGAGCGATATTTCAGTCCCATCAAGACCTCGAACCCCATTGTCCGCCGAATGATCAGCGGTCGCAGTAGCAACGTCGACATAACGATGTGCGGTCTCTATTTCACTTCGTGGAACGCTTTTTCCCCCATCGAATTCTTATTTTTGGTTCATGGTGGCACTAAGGGATTAAGATGAGATCAGTATGGTCACATATCGACATCCCGGATTAGCTCTTGTTCCACGAAAACTTGATGATCGCCGCCCTTCGCGATATCCCTGGCATCCGCGCAACGAGGGTTTTCTGCGGATCGATCGGTTGTGAAAACAAGTGTGATACCTAATAAGCAAGCTTTCGATCTGCCGGAGCAACGCGTCTTCGAGCCCAGTCAACTCCGCAAATTTAGCTTCCTGGTCAGACACATGCGTGACTTGCGCGAGCTGATACGCGAAGTTTGTTGGCTCACGAAAATGCTAAACAGCCTATCGGAAGGTTGCTCATTCAATTCACGTAATATCTCGCGAGCCGCGAATTTCAGCATCTCCAACAGACTAATCCCAGTTAGATGGCGTATTCAGCGGTTGGGCCGAGTCTCCGCCGAGGCTCATCCCGAGTGGCATATAATCGGGGGGTGATGTCAGTCATTGAAGAAAAGTTTTGCGCGGCGAGAATGGTTCACGTACTCTTCAGCGAGTTGACGTAACACGTTCGTAGTGAGAGACTTCCGGTTCGGCTGTCACGTACGATGTCGTTGGCCCGCCACTCGTTCTACACGGACGCGCTCGGATTCGCCGGTGAACCTCTCTCCTCGTACATTTGATTTCGGTTCGTGCTTCTTTCGAACAACGAAAGAGTGCGTCAGATAAACTCTCCGCGAGGTCTGGGAAGCAATGGCGGCAACGATATAGTCATTTCAAACGCTGAGCAAACCAGATGAAAATTGATTCAATATTTATTTGAATATGTTCCGTCTTTAAGTTTACTTTTCCGCGAAGAGTGGGAGCGTCCTCGGCCCCGTGTCTCGCTCATCGACAGTTCTCTGAAGACACGTCTAGCCGGGGATCGGAGAGTTCTCCCGGTCACACGAATCGCATCGGAGACGTTACGATTGGGCGGCTACTACTCTTGCAACCCCCCCCCTTCCTAATTCATTCGGTCTGACTGAGCACGCGGAATCGCGGAAATGCTCCCAATGCGACGATTAACGCTGAAAAGCGGTCCGATTCTCTGGGAGGTGTAAGAATCTCAAGGACACTCCGTCACCATAAATTTTCGCAGGGAACAGCAGCGCTGACGAGGAACGCACGACAAACAGTGACTTGATGCATAGACCGGCATGACGTCCGATTGGCTGACGGAACGCCCGCAGCGTAGACCGAATTCCTATGAAGATGTAGATGAAGATTCTGGCGAATCGTTTGGAGACGACGATCGCTGCGGGATGAACCGATACGCAACGCTGTCTGCTCTCGGAGACGGAACCTATGGCACAGTCGTACTCGGTCAGAGACTAGACACCGGAGAGAAGGTTGCTATCAAGCAGTAAGTTCGGCCTTGAGGAACGTTTTTCGCACTGACTGAGTGAAAACAAAAAACATGAAGATAGTTGACATCACCAAGAGCCATCCCTCACCCATCACCCCGATACCGGCCAACCCACCGATTGGCAGAAGAAACGACATGAAGCGGTACCGAGTTTTGCACCAGGTCGGTGATGGCACGTTTGGGTCAGTGCACCTCGCAGTCTCCGAGGAGACAGGTGACAAGGTCGCTATAAAGAAGTGAGTATATGGCACCTTTCGAGCAACTTCGCATCGGATTCAAAGCTGTGGCTGTCGGTAGTGAACTTCCCATCAATCGATACACGGTCTACCAACGCACATTCAAACCATTGTGGCGCGCGCTACAATGTCCTAATCAGAAGAGAGCGAGCGAGCAGACAGAGCACGCTTCTTCTCTGACTGAGTGAGAGAGTCATTCCCAAGCGATCCAGTGGCCCCCGCCTAGAAAGCTGACACCAAGCGTCTATACACAGGCGGTGGCCACTCGGACGACCTTGACGGAATTGAAGGCCACTCAGACTAGGAAAGTCCAGATCGATACAGTCGTGTTGATCGTTTTCGTGCCCACTGCCTGGGCTGGAATCACGCGGCATAGAATGCGCAATGACATTAAGGAAGCGATCGTGTTTTCCAGGATGAAAAAGAAATATTACTCATGGGAGGAATGCATGAATCTTCGCGAAGTGAAGGTGCGTACGGAGTGATCATAGGTTGACGATTGGTAGGACGTGGCACAGTAATTTATTGCGGACGTGGGCGCAGCGCTGCGAAGACCAATGCAAACCTTGAGGATCGGAAGAGTCGAGCTTTTGTGTAGAGATATTCATTCAATGCTCGTGAAAGTCAGCCGTGTTCTCGGACAGCCCTCGGCAACGGAACTCCCTACACCGTGAGGCACATCGGTCATCCGGCGATCGACCGCCCTTGCCGAGTTACTATTGAGTTTCGAATACTTTTGAACGTATTGTCCACGCTTGTCATTCGGCGCTCGTCATCGTATACATCAGGCCGGGTCAAGACCAGTGGGCTGGGTTTTAGTGGGGAGATGCCCTAGATTTGCCGATTGGGTCGACCGCATCCGGAATTTCGCCGGTGTAGTGATTGTCGAAGGGGATGAATAATGCCTTGTATAGTGAGGTTCCGAAGAGCGGCCGCTGTCCGAGACGTCTTGAGCTGTTCTAGAATCCGTGAACGAGCAGGAAGGGGTCGCTGTCCGAGCACCTCACCAGGATACACGGAAGTGCTGAGCGTTGGAGACGTTGCGTGCGACCTCCAATTGACTCCGAGCCCTTATTGGAATATATGAGATGATCAGATGTTGAATACGTTGAATGAGAACTCCGGGTAGAGAATCAGAGGTGTGAGTTGCTCGCGGGAGAGGAACTTCGATCTCTGCGTCGTTCAGAAATATCCGTCCGTGTGTTCTTCCGAGTTCACAGCGATGCGAAGAACTAATGACAACTGCTCTACGATCGAGTCTGGATAGCTCTGCGTACATATTTTGGATTATCTAGCCGGAGCTCCGCTCGAATCGATGCTTGTGATTTGGTTCCTCTGAGCGGAGTAATAGCTTCTATCTACGACAAATAGTCTCGAAGATTTGATCGATTTTCACTATCGGACATGCGGTACATGAATACTTGAAAGGTCTCCGAAGCTCACATGATGATCCGAACTACCCGGTCCTGATCGTAATACGGTTGCCTCGATGGTGGAGAAGATTACGGTTATTATCCCTCTGAGGGGAAGATTACGGTGCCGCGAAAAATCTTGAGTGCTTTCAAACGAGCATAGAATATGATCCACTCTAAGGAGGGGCGGCGGGTCGACCTTCCATAGCTGGAGGCCATGTTTCGGTCGAGCAGAGTTAGAAGCTTATCTAGAACTTTGGCATTCCAGTCGCTGCAAAAACTCAGTCATGTGAATCTTATCAAGCTCAAAGAGGTCATTAGAGAGGACAACACGCTTTATTTCGTGTTCGAGTACATGAAAGAGAACCTCTACCAACTCATCAAAGACAGGTAACCTTCGAAAAGTATGATTTCAACTAGAGCTCCAATCTCCTATCATATCTTGTCTCAGCTGATATTTAGAGCGATGAACAATGCGACGAACAAATGGATTTAATGGAAACATGCGCAAATCGAATCCGGCCTGAGCTCAGCATGTAAGCCAGGAGCACTAGTTCGCTGCTCTGAGTACACAAGAACTCCGCTCAAATGAACCATTCTGAGGTCCAAATGCGGCTCGAGTCGATATCGTGACGTCAAAGCGCCCGGCGATGCGCGTGGCCCTCTATCGTAATTGTTCCGTTGATTTCGCGAATTAAGGTATTCATAGATCAGTTTCATGCGAGGGTTCTGTGCTTACATAACTCTATGGTACGATTTTCCAGAGAAAAACCTTTCGCCGAACCTGTGATCCGCAATATCATCCAACAGATCTTTCAAGGACTAGCCTTCATGCACAAACACGGTTTCTTTCATCGAGACATCAAACCGGAAAATCTCCTCTGTATGGGACCAGACACGATCAAAATCGCGGATTTCGGTCTCGCTCGGGAGATCAGATCGCGACCCCCTTACACCGATTATGTGTCAACGAGGTTTGTCATCCCCCGATAGAGGAATTCAAATTCGTTGTCCCGTGACGCCACGCGGATCTGACCGCCGAAGAACACCAGGCGAATCAGGCTAGAATGTCACGTGCGACGATGACCTCCAAATATCTTCGGCGGCCCGATGCTGCTTTCGAAAACAAAATACGGCGGCTTGGAATCGATCGCGATCGATCCCGCAAATTCTCAGACGTCTAGGAGAGGCCTTCTCAGACCCTGAACCTGTTCTCCCGAGTCTTCATTATATATGCAATACTTGCTTCCAGATGGTATCGTGCACCGGAGATCCTGCTTCGGTCAACGCACTACTCTTCGCCAATTGATATTTGGGCGGTCGGCTGTATTTTCTCCGAGCTATACACGCTGCAACCATTGTTCCCCGGCCGTTCGGAGATCGATCAAATATTCCGGTAATATAGATACGTCATCGTCTCGGTGGGCTGTCGCCGACTTCCCCTGGGGACTTCACGCTATGATGACATTCGATCCCGTAGTAAGGCCAACGCACATCCGGCTGGGGGCATTTTGGAATAATTTCACGAGAAATAATTGTTCTTTATCAGGATATGCTCTGTCCTGGGCACGCCTGACAAGAGGGATTGGCCCGAGGGCTATCAATTGGCGACGGGGATGAACTTCCGGTTTCCTCAGTTCACTGAGATGACTCTGGAGAGCATTGTGCCCAACTGTAGTGCTGAAGGTATCTCATTGTTGCGGGATATGTTACGTTGGAATCCGTCGCGAAGACCAACTGCCACAGCGGTAAGTCGCTCAGTGGTGCGCTCCTGAGGCTACGGCCTCCTGAAGCTTATGGAGGGAAGAACGAGCTGAGGAAATGTCCGTCAATATCATTAACGTACATGAATTGATGGAGCGAGGACTTCGCCCTCCTGACCGATCCCTTACGTTTTTTATCCCTCCGTAACAGGCCCTCCGCTACCCGTATTTTCGGGAAGGTCCCCGAACAGGTCCTATGTATTCACTCAACCAACAGATGAAGCAGCATCAAAGATCTGCGATGGCGCGGTCATACCAGGAATTCGCCGACAAACGCCTTCTTCAGGTTCGTGGCACTCACCCGTAATCCTCACCGTAGCTCACGAGTAATTTGCTGCTGGACAGAGCCGTCGAGAAATTAGGAGTTTTCACATAGCCACCTGCCTATGAGTACAAAATCTCTTCCTTGTCACAGCGAACAAGCATTTGCTTTCATGTTTCTGTCAAACAGGATTTAGAAAACGGAAGCTTTGAGATGAAACCTCAATCCAAGTCCTGGTCGAATATAAACTGGGACGCGGATTACACCGATGGTAAAATCAAAGAGATCGTCCAAGAGCCTGCGAAGCCTCCTGACGACGACGTTGACATCAATCGGTGAGTGCGCCTGAGGCTGAACTTGCTCAAGCTTCAACTGGCTTCTTCTCGTTGCTCTGCCGCTCTTCGCCGCTTGCGTTCACTGCACTCTGTCGCACGATTTGATGTATGATGATTGTTTCTCACAGGAATCTCCATCAAACGACCCAAACTCAGAGGTCTTGGGGATATCAGGGTCCGAGGGCCAACTCGGTCAAGAGGAAAACCGGAACCGCCCTGAGGATGGTACCCCCGGGGATGGAGGTTATCCAGAGCACCGAGAGTCTGCTCCAGGATGCAGAGCTGATATCGCTGATGAATAAGTCCTTGGGTAAGGAGCGATGAAATGTCTAAGTGGAGCACAGACGCACTGAACGTGTCACGTAGTTCCAGTTTCGAACTCTAACTAGCAAACTGTTTCTAGGGGGTAATACGGCCTCGATCAAGTCTCGGATGTAGACAATCTTAGTTTCTAAGCTTAAAACAAATGTCAAATTTGTTCGATCTGAAGATCTCGGTAAGATTTCGAGTCTCGATTGAAAACACCCAGATCATATTTCTGTTCTGATGTTTTTGGTGTTCCGCACCTCCGATCCCGATACTCCTCGAACTTCTCTGTTATCTGAGTGGGTGTCCACATGGGCTGGGGATCATTGGATTTCCGATAGAACGCTTGTGATGAGTTCGCGGTGCAGGAACGACGAGAAACGGCGAACGGGCTACCCGCCCGCCATCGAAGAAACCCCGAGAGCTCAAGCCGGGTGATCTTAGTTGTGTCCGAGGCGGAACCGAAATCTCTTCAGAGATGAACGGTGTGAGAGAAACGCAGTCGGTCACGGTGAAGGGGGTTCCCGTGTTCCCCGATTTCTAAGCTGAACGAGACCTTTTCTTTCTAGGAGCTAGCTACGGCAGTGGCAGTATGCGGGGCTCGGCGCTGTTCACCCGACGAAGTCAGCCATCCTCAATCCACGGACGAACGGACTGGGCAGCAAAGTGAGCGACCTCATAGACTGCCATGAGATGAACGCCACTTTCTCAAATCGAATGCGAAGCTGCTCCGGACTCCCGTCCGAAACCATTGAAGAATCAATAACCCCTGCGATCCTCCTACCTTCTAGGTATCTGAAATAGACCCAGCCGTGCTCCTGGATCTCATCGACGAAATTCAGAGGAATGCCGCATACTGACCGAGGTCCCGTCTCATCGGTGGAATTACTCGCAGAGCTTCAGTGCCCAATGATGCAATGGGCTCTAGGAGATCCCCGCAGGACTTTGTGTAAAAAAGAGTCATTAGATGTCGCGCACCAAAGGGGAAAAACTTCCCCACCTTCATGAGAATCTCAGTCTATGAAGCGGCCATGAGACGCTACCCGCATAAGTTTGTGTTCATTTACCGAGGTATTCAGAGAGCAATCCGATTATTCCCGCAAATAAATGCATCTACTTTAGGTTCAGGTGTAATCCACTCCTCCTGAAGTGATCTTTTACATGATTTTCGTCCGAAAGGGTTACGAGAATCGATTGACGATGCAAACGATTCGGCGATTGATTCACGAAGCTACCTTCACAGCTGACAATGAAGGACTTAAATAGAGAGTGTCCGTGAACGAGAGAGATTATATTATTCATCCGAGTCCGTTCCCGTCAATCCAAAATTCGGACATGGATTTCCCGAGGGAGCACTCGGGTACAATTCGGACAATAGATCGGAGCTCCAAGTGCACGAGACTCTGGAGAGGGCTGAAGATATGCTCGAAGATCCTCACGTTCGGGGCGTTCCTGTATTCTGTTCCGTGTGTTTTCTTCTGGGATCTGTTAGTTTTGGAAGTCGTCTGGTCGGGGGTCGGAAGAAGGTAGACGGTGCGTGTCGGATAGAGGTAATTTGCAGTACTCGTTCGTTGAGAGAGCATCAGATGGCGCTACTCTTAGCGGCTCGAATATCAGAATCCACTGACGAGCACGAACGAATTCTCTCCACCAAAACCTGCGAACCCAACCATAGGAGGGTGAGACTCCAATCTCTAATACACATCCAGAGCGCTCGCGAATGGTCTGATCGGAGGAATCGCGAGGGGAGAGGGTGAAGTGAGCTTACTTCATCGCTCTCGAGGACGTTCAGAATCTACCTCGTAGCGTCTGGAGCACCCGTAGCTCCGATCCGGAACCCGAAGTGAAGCTGAAATACGCCAGGAATCACCCCCGCTGACGTTGTGAGCGACTATCTCTTGACAACGTGATTGATAATCTCGCGTCGGCGCAGCTCGTCAGTGATAGCGGTGGTCGGCGGAGAAGATACGACTTTCGATAAAAGTATCTTGATCTCGAGGAGACCGCGCATGCGCCCGGGATAAACAGCGTTCCTTACCCTCGACTGCGGAGCAAAACATAACGGCGCGTGGAGGAAACTTTCGGTAGTCGTCGCGCAAACATTCAGCTCTGCCATCATGTCAGGTGAGAGATATTCGAATCGATTCTCATGTTGTTTTTCTGCGGCTTCATTGAAGAGGCGGATTCCCGTTTGGCAGAATGCTCGACGAGCTTCGCGCGGAATCCTTGCGATCGTCCGACGCCTCATTCGAAGGAATATGTCCGATCGGATCTGAGCGCAAGGTAGCAAAAACATTCGACGAGAGACTTCCCTCGGCTGTTCATCAGAAACCTTGAGAGCACTGATTGCTCGATGACCCGAAAAGCAATCGAAGGCTCGTATGCTCGATCTCTCTTCCCGGTATGGTTGTGGAACTCCCGAAACGAACGCTCAAGAAGGAGCTTTTTTTCCTAGATATGGAATCTTAGGAACGCATCCCGCTCATCATTCGATCGTTTGACCCTTATTCGTCATGAGCGCGCACTCGTCACCCATTGGCCATTCATTTTACTGTACGGTCGCCAAAGATCAGATTCAGGGTTATCTTGCTCTTTGAACGTCTCCCGCTTGTCTGCGAGCTACTCCTCACCGCTGCGTCGTCGCGGAGCAGCAGTCCTGGTTTACCGAGATCGATTAGAGGAGCTGTTTCTGGGAAGAAAAACAAGGAAGATTTAGCTTGGATGCGACTCTTATTCTTCAATCGCTGCGTCTCCACCGCTCTATTTCGGCGACAAGACTTCTCAGTGCCGGATTCAAGTTTCAAATGATCAGCCACCAAGTCCGCGAGCATGCTATGCTCGTGAGTGATATCAATTGCGAGGATGTCCATGCCGCAAGCGAGAGACTTAAGTTCTGAGCTTCTTTGGTTTTCAGTCACGGGTATCAAGCTTGGCAACAAGATCATCGAAGGCAAAACGAAAGCCGTCTACTTGATCGCTGATGAGCCGGAAAACTGCCTGCTCATCTCAAAGGACAAAATCACAGCCGGCGATGGAGCTCGAGCGAACGACTTGGTCGGGAAGGCAGCCATCTCGAACCAGACCGCGTGTAGAATATTCGCCTACCTGAACGCATGCGGGGTCAAGACTCATTTCGTTAGGCAGCACGATGAGAAGAGTTTTGTAGCACGTCGCTGTGACATGATCCCAATCGAATGGGTGACCCGACGCTTGGCGACAGGGTCGTTCCTGAAAAGGATGCCGGGTGTCAAGGAGGGCTATCGTTTCAACCCTCCGAAGCTGGAGACTTTCTTCAAGGACGACGCAAACCACGATCCGCAATGGAGTACAGAGCAGCTGATCGAGAATAGACTTTCACTCGGCGGAATCACGATCGGACGCGACGAGGTGGGCAGCGAAATGTCTGATAATAATCGATTGCTAGCAAAGAAGGATAACCTCACCTCGATAATCACTTGGTCACTCTGAAGAGAGCTATGATGCCAATGGAACCGATCTAATTCTTCCTTTCCAGGTCGAGATCATGCTGAAGATGACTCGCACCGTTTTCGAAGTCCTCGAACGCGGATGGCAATCGTTGGACTGTTCCCTGATCGACATGAAAGTCGAGTTCGGAGTGGATTCAACAACGAAAGAAATCATTCTGGCCGATCTCATTGATTCTGACTCGTGGAGACTTTGGCCCAGGGGAGACAAGAGACTCATGGTTGACAAGCAGGTTTACCGCAACCTCCAAGAAGTCACAGATCAGGCCTTGGAAACGGTGAAACGGAACTTCCAATGGGTTGCCGAGCAAATGAAGAAATTCCAGCCGAAGCCCGTGGCTCAGGTCGTCATTCTCATGGGATCCGCCTCGGATCTCGAGCACTGCAAGAAGATTAAGGAAAAACTCTCCCAATACCAAATCCCGACCGATATGAGAATTACTTCGGCGCACAAGAACACCGATCAAGCGCTGAACATCATCGCCGAATATGAGGGATTGGGCGTGCCGTTGGTGTTCATCGCGGTGGCCGGTCGATCCAATGGCCTGGGACCTGTGACAAGCGGCAATATCAACGCTCCGGTAATCAACTGTCCCCCGGTGTCGGCTGACTGGGGAGCCGAGGACATCTGGAGTTCGATGCGAGTCCCTTCTGGACTGGGCTGCACGACGGTGCTGTTCCCCGAGGCCGCGGCTCTGGCCGCCGCTCAGATCCTGGGGCTGAAGGACCATGTGATTTGGTCGACCCTTCGCTGCGAACAAATGAACACTTGGATTGCATTGAAAAAATCCGATATGAAAATTCGCAAAGAACAGGGTATCAAGAACTGACTGTGAATTCTTTTGGAGAAGAATAAAATAAAAGCATAACCTGGTGAATGACTCGAATAAGTTTCATATCTGGATGGTCTCGCCGTAGTCTACCCTTCCCCTTGAATTTTCTGGCGTGACTCATGGAAGCCGGTGCTCACTGGCGATTTGGAGCAGCAACGCTGAGCGCGTCGTCGTTGCCACCACCGCGATTCTTCTCTCATTCGTGGACCGCCAGAAAGCATCGTTCCATCGCACACACCACACCCAGTAGGTGACCATTGCATCGACAGGATTCGCGCGCGTCATCGGTGGACCAGGAGAACGAGGACTGAGCGCTCACAGCGACCTCCTGCGACGGCTCCTGAGTAAGTTTCGTCGTGGAGAGCATCGAGTGGGATCCCTTTCCGAGCGAGGGACTCTCGCCCGGCCGATTGGCTCTCCTGTCTGGCTGGTCTCCACGCCGCTTCCACAAGCTCCATCTGCAAACACAGCTGATGAGAGCGACAGAGCGTTAGTGCTTGCTCCTTAGTTTCGTCCGATAAACCGTGTGAGTGTGGAGATGGGCGCTTGCTAGTTGAGTGTTTTGCGCACGGATATCCTGACCAGGTGAGTTCTAGATCGACGGAGCCGTTCCGGCCAGATCGGATCCCGCGGTATGATCGCTGAGTGAGTGTGGTTCCGACCGGCTCCGCTGCCACCCTTGTCATAAGAGTAAACAGAACCGTCGCTCTTGTGTTTTTGGCTTCCTTATATCCATTCCCACGATCTCGGTGGTCAGAGTTTCGTCCAGGATCAATCCGTGGCCGCGTTTTCCCAAGTTTTTCCCCGTCTCGGATCGCGTATATTTGTTCAGGCTAGGCTCGGAGCGCTTGCTAAATGAGAGCAGTTCATGATCCCCCGAAAAGAGGCAGCTATATTCTACAATCGCAAGATCGCGTCGAACTGGGATATTGACGAAAAAAGTCATAGAGATAATGAAATGTCGGAGAAGGAGTTTCGAAGCGGATGTCGCCGTGTTGTTCCGAGAGGGCGTGGAAACGAAATGTCATTTTGATTCCCCTATTGATAATAATGGTTGAACATTGTTCGGAAGCCCGCGTTGCGGAATCATAGGGATCCCGTTCTACAGAAAGGTCTCATCGGGGAATTCCCGCGTGAACTTTTTAGCGTTTCGTGGAGCGAAATCTACCCCGGATCCTTCAGTGGAATTTTTCGGCCGCGGCGAACAGGTGGGACTCCCTGGTAGCTTCTAGGATTCCACGACATTCCGTGGCAGACGTTGCGGATCGATAGGAAAAAGTGGCCTCTATCTATCATGGGTATGCGGACCTTCTGACGAATCATTTTCAAATGTTCACGATTGCCCGCGTCTCTGTTCGGACATGGCGACGTGATCAGTCGGTCGAGAGTGTTTCGCCGGAAACCTATCGAGGTTTCGACAAGGCCGGGGAGACACTCGAGGAAGAATGCTGCACAATCGGATGGGAACATTATCGCTCGATCGACTGACTGATTGATTGGTCATCCAATCAAGACGCGCTTTCTCTCTAAGTTCTAACAGCCTCGACCCAAATCACCGAATGGAGGCGCCTTGTGTACCGCTGTTGTATCGAGCGGCGGAAGAAGGAAAATGGCATCGACAACTCTGGAACATTTTTGGCATCCACGAAGAGCGACAGGAAACTAGCATGTACCGCCTTCTATCTGCGGTAAACCGATCCTGGCGACCTTTGACCTGCGGCGGCTACTGAGACTTTTCGAGTTCTCTCGTAGCTCGTCTCCATGCCGGATTCCCGTGAACTTTCTACTTCTTTTCCATATTGAGCTTATTCCATTTAGGGACTTCCGATAAGGAAAAGTTCGAGGAGTGAGTACTCGATGATCGGTCCTGGAGTTCTCGAAGCTATTCGAATCTCAACCGAGGTCTCTGCTCCGAGGTCCTGTCAAGCGTTTGTTCTGGAGGAGATGAGACCGCTCATCTTCGTCGAGAGCTCTTACCCCCTCCTGCAGGCAGACTTCCGATCCACGCATCTGCTCCTGTGATATTCTCATCTCCGGGCCTGTGCTTTATCTTGCTTGAAATTGGGTCCGGCGCGAGCGCGTCGCTGACTCTCCATCTTTCTATAATTGTCTCTCCTTGAAAGGCTACCCGTGCGCGAGACGAGCCCACGTCAGGAAAGCTCCGTACTGACGCAAGACTCACCGTGTGGCGTGCTTTATTATGCAAAGTGGCTAAACTTTTACGGCCACGGACCGTGATTCACTTTGCTCGTTGAGATTCGAGCATCAGGTTGCGGACGTTTCACGAATTCAGAGAGCCGAAACCTATCGCTTCTCTCGCGGGAGGAATCGCGGACGGGTAGAAGATCTGTGACATTTCGAGATCGGCACTCGGATTCTATGATATTCTGCTGCGGCGCGGAAGTGTCAGGGTCCTTCATTTCCTCTTAATAGGGGTCCACGGACGAATAGGCCGAATTCGACAGTTTTTCTCCGGACGATCGACAATACTTGAAATTCTTTACAATCGGGAGCAACCTCTGATTATGCTTTAGGAAAACCCAGAGTCCCGATTTGAATTCGAACGAGACCGGCAGAGATACGTATTTTGTTCAAAGAGCTCATTCTCTTCATTTCAGAAATGATGTCTGCCGAAGAAGAGCCGACCTCGATACCTCAGGTGAGTTTGTGAAGAGCCGAAATACGACGCGAAGACACTGAGGAAGAGGCCTTCCGATTGAAACTCGTAAATCGGTTAGTCGAGTCGTTAGCTCGGACGTTTGCTTGCTGCGCAGAAGATCGTATCGTCAGCCGGTCGATCGACGACGGAGGAGTATTCCACGGCGGATTTGAAAGAATTAATTGATCTCACTCGAGGGGAGGTCGTTGAGGTCTGTTGGTGGCGGCTTCAATGCCTCGATCTAGTGGTGCCTATCTCGTCGGAAGCGTCCGAGAATCGGCGTAAACCTCGCCGTCGAATCTAACGTGATTTATCGTTGTCGGCGAGACCTCTTCAGAAGCCCCCAGGCCTCAGGAGGTCCTTCACGCCCTCTAACTCGCTCAACGAAGTTGTGTGACAAGCGTGAAGCTGCTCATTGAAAGTTTTTCCTCAACGGTGTTCGACATCTCCGAACACGTGCTCGCAGAGAAGAACGTTGGCGAGAAACCCATATACTGCAAGACCCGGGCCATGCTGCTACAGAACACTCTCCCCCTTGATAGGGGACTAGATGAACACCTCTTTTGGTGGTGCTCGCCGCTTGATACCCAAAGATTCAATAATAATATAATAATACGAAGACACGAGAAATTGAGGTTCGTTCGTTGCTCGAGATCCCTTGAAATAGAGGATCGAAACTATTTCTGGGGCCCAACCACTTAGGAAGTGGAATTTCATGGAAGACGGCGGAGAGTGACGCAGCCGGTTGTGGGGAAGCTCGAGGTACCCGTATGATAAAGATTGTAGCGAGGGAGCAGGCACTGCGGATCTTTATCACTGAATCACCGGCTCACCGCTCACCGCTCGTTTCAATGAGACCTTACGAGAGACGCTCCGGGAGCAGTATAGCAGCACACTGCAAGACGTCGATAACAACTTATAGGGGTTACGAAAGGAGATAAGTTTGCTCTCCGTTCTGCTTGACCGCTCGCCGCGTTTTGTGTACCGAGGTAGCAGCGGACGATGTCTTCCGCATAGTGCTCGCGGGACGTTTGGCGAATCTCATTTTCGAACCTCTACTTTCGGATATCCGTAGCATCAGAAGCCACGGACGCTAGCGAAGTCATGGCTAAATTTTCTCATCCCTTTTCTGGCGTAATCTCGGAGACACTGGGTGAGGGAGATCTGACGATTGAGCACCCCTGGCTATAGACAGACAATCCTGTCGGCGATGCGATGGGAGAACACTCATTACGTTCAAAGTAAAACAACAATGATCTCAATTGGCTGCCATCGAGTTTCGTTATGCATACCCATTTTCTTCTCCTCTCTTTTTTCTCTCCCCCCGGCGATTTCGTGAGCGCCGGTAGCCTCAAATCGCTCCATCGGATGCGAGATGGAACGAGAACAAGAAACACTGTGTCTATGATCGCACAAATCAAATTTACATTTGACGGCGGCGATTCTCGCTGATTCACGAAAAACAGACCGACGAACTCTCTCACACCCATCGCTTGGTCGGCCGGTCGTTTGCTTGGCCATCTGTCAGATCGGGATAATAATGATGACGACGACGATGAGCTCATGTTTATAGGCGTCTGCCGCGCGAGTTCTGCGGTGGATCCTTCGGGTCAACTCGCACAGTATGCATGTGAGCGGAGATGATCTGATCCATATATGGGTTTCCGAGTCGAGGTCATTTTGAGGGCCGGCCTGTCGCTGGGCCGTCCGACCGACCGACCCGTCGGCTGTCTCGTCAATGAAATGACCGACCGACCGGCCAGCCAACCTAACGACTTCAAGCACGACTCGCAACAAACTCTTCGCCAGTCTGTGCGAAGCACGCAGTCACCGGAAATATTCTGCCCGGGGCTGGAAACGGACTCCATCTCCGTATACTCGTCCCTCTTGGACTTGGCTCGCGACCGAGCTCACTTTTTTTTCCAATGATTCGATTGCTGGTATCCTCTGCGCTCACAGGGCCCTCCCCTCAGAGCTTTCGAGTCGAGAGCGCTGTCTGACGATGGGTCCGACTTGTTGGAATGATTCGACCGAGGCGTTGTATCAGGAGCTTATACCACGTCCGGAAGTTTTCGAGCCAATAGAGAGGCCTCCTTACTCTTCTCGCTACGCAAGCCCTTTCCTTATACTGGAGCAGCGTGATAGGATAGGTTCCCATTAATTTTTTGTGCTCCGCCACGAAGGAGCTCCCCGAAGGAATTAAGAAGCTTCTCTTGATTTCCCAAGTCCGCGTACTTTAATTTGCTGAACACGCGCCCGCATTCTTTTTTCTCGCTTTCTTGATTGAGTCCTTGGAACTCTCCACTGACGCTCGAAACCCCGACATGGAGCCACGGCCAGGAGACCTGGATCAGGTGGAATTTCGAGTTTGGCGGTACAATTCGACAAGGGATGG